AACAAATGAAAACATAAAAGTAGATCCTCATGTTAAGGTAAAACCATTCTCTCTAGTATTTCATAACCTTATGGATTAAAGAAAGGATGACATCAAGGCATGTTTCTGGGGCAAAAATCCTATGATAGGGCGAGGTCTTAATTACAGCCACATGTACATAAAGTACAGTCATAGACTTTGGGACTTGGTAAGCAGAATCATGGGTCTTCGTTACAAAACACAGTGCCTTGTACGTGGTATGCTTAAATGTTTATCAGTCAGCACAATTATTTAAACCTGAAATTGAAAATGAAGATAGTTAAGAGTAAACACATATCAAGCATTTTCATCTTAAAAACAAACCTTTGGGAAAACCACACAGTGCTACTGAGAAAGGCAAGAGGCAAGCAACAATTCAACTTTTTAATAAATATCTTAATAATTTAAGATTTTGTTATTTGAAAACAGCACAGAATATAGTGACATCTAACATTTTGTTCTCTGAAGCAAACAAGCTCAATAAAGTTCAAAGACATGTTCCTCTAGCATGTCTTATTTATCTCTTATATAGCATTATCTGGGTGACATAAAGCAATTTTTTTTGTACTCACACAAATAAAAGTGAGGCTATTATTCAGAGAGTTCTATTCCACAAACAAAAATAAAAAGATAAAAATTGCTTCAGACTCCAAGAGGGTTCTTAAGCTCAATTCCCTTTGTATATCCCAGTACTAGACTGGCTAAAAACATCTCTGTCCCAAGCAGCCAGAAATGTACTTAATCCAATCTTATTATCTTGAGTCATTTTCCTTGGATCACAGGATCAGACTTAGAACTGAAAGGGACTTGTCTTTGATCCTACAGTTCTTATTGAGAACTATGGCATACTACAGAAGGAGATTTTTAGTTCTATTTTAAACGTAAATAAATTACTAATTCCAGAAGGCAGACATGTACATACCTCCTACACCTCTGCTTTGACAAAGAGAAAGATCAATGCTTTTTAACATACAAAAGTTAACCTTCCAGAAAACCAAGCTTAAGAGCAAACAGGGTGTACCTTTGATTTCAGAACCACGGAAAAAGCAGATGTTCTGACTGAGGCAGGACTTTCCTCCAGCTGACCTGAGTATTACCTTGCCTAAATCAAAACTTCCAGTTTTCACATCATTTTTCTTGGGTTATATGGTCCCCGAACCACTTAAGGCTAGAAGGGACCTGGAAGACCAAACAGTTGAATCCACCCACTCCACAGCTGAGGCCCAGAAAAGTTAAGTGTTTTGTACAAGGTTACACCGAGTTAGTATGGCAGAACAGAAACTAAAGCCCACGTCTTCAGACTTGTAGCTTGGTCTTTTTTCGAACTAAATGATGCTATTAAATTATGTCATTTCTCAGAATACATGCCCGAGCAATTCTAAGTAGTTACAATGAGAAAAAATATCAGCCTACAAAATTCCTAACATATTTGCCACAATATGCAAGTAAAGGAATAAAATTGGGACTAACTCCACCAGAGTATTTTATGCCAAAAAAGCAGTCATGTATCCATCATACAAAAATCTGTTTTTGCACACAGAAAGATTTTTGCTTATTATGTACAAGTGTTAATTAAACTTCCCAGAAAATTGAGCTTAAAAACAAATTCTGGGTGCACATCTGATTTCAAAACACCATTTAAAAGCAGAACAAGTTTTAAACAAATTTTCAAGTTTCCTGTCAGTACAGAAAGTCATCACAGTGTTCCCCGACAACACAAAACCACGTCAAGCCACAGGAATTTATGTCACCTGCTCTTTCTTTCCTCCATATTCTCCCTCCCTGACCTATCACGCACAGCTTCTTATTAAAACAAATGAAGACGGGAGCAGAGAAGAAAGGAATAGTAAAGAAGTTACTAAGCGTCACACTCCAACAGTTTTAAATGTATGATGTAAGCTCCATGATTCACAGAAGTGACATCATGGTGTCACAGCAAGCAGGCCATGCTTCAGTTTTGATTTTAATGTCTATGTTTTTTTAAAGTTGTACACAAGATCTACCATATGCAGACATAAAAAGGATACATACTTTCTTCAACATTGGGCACTCTCAGTGTGGGAATTCCCTCCCATGACTTAGTTACTAAGTTCTAGGGAGTAGGCTGAGATACACAGAGGTTAAATGACTTACCCAGGGTCATACAGCTCATGTCAGAAGTAAGCTCTATCTATTCTATTTACTACAGATAGAACTGACTCTATCTACAATACCAGCATGTCTCTCTTATACTATGAATAATCTTCCAATGAGTTAGATTGCAATATAGACCTAGACACAATAAAGTAAAAGAAAACATTCACTGTGTAAAAAAAACCTCCCAGGAAAATGAACTGGGTTAAAGGAATCTTTCTCTAAAATAAGAATGGCCTTCTGCCAAATCAGGAGCTTCAAAATTTCCTAAGCACAATTTATTTCTACCCAATGTTAAATGCAAGAAGTAAAACCTGATGAGGAAAACAGGTATGAATGCACTTAGGAATTGACCTTCAAATAAGAGTCTTTCCATGAGAGACAGCTAGGTGGAGCAAGAAGACCTGTTGATCAAATATGACCTTAGAAACTTACAAGCTGGGTTACCCTGGGCAAGTCACTTACCCTGTTTGCCTCAGTTTTCTCAATTGCAAAACAGGGATCACAACAACACTCATCTGCCAGGGCTGCTGTGAGGATCAAATGATATAACATTTGTAGAAAGTGCTTAACACAGTAGATAGCTCAATGGATAGAGCCAAGAGTCAGGAAGATCTGAGTTCAAATTCAACTTCAGATACTTACTAGTTGAGTGACCCTGGGCAAGTCACTTAACCTCTTTGCCTTGGAGGCAGCTACGTGGCTCAGTGGATAGCGTACTGGGCCTGGAGTCAGGAAGACCTGAGTTCAAATACAGACTCCGACACTTAACTAGCTGTGTGATCCAGAAGTAAGTCACTCAACCTCTGTTTGCCTTAATTCACTAGAGAAGGAAAGAGCAAACCACTCCAGTATCTCTGCCAAAAAAAAGCCCACAGACAGTATGCTCTGTGGGTTCATGAAGAGTTGGACAGGACTGAACAACAACAAGCACAGTATCTGGCACACGGTTGGCTTCAATCAATGCTTGTTCCCTTCCAATTACTCTTTCCGTTATTTTTAATTTTGATTCTTCCGTGATCACAGTGCTCCATGACTCAGACATATATCAGAGAAAATCCACACTACAGGAATGGGCTTCTGCTACAGTGCAGTTTTCAATCGTCCACCTGCAGTCCAGTGTCCAAGATATATATGCATGTACGCTCATTATGTTTGAAAAAGAAAGAACATTAAGTTCTCAACAAGGTTATCCACCCAGCTGCATAGCACTGTCTATGCTACATATCATTGATAAATTTCATCCACTTTATCAATGGGGTGAATGAGGCTAAATGCAATTAAAGAACTTAAGAACAAGGCTCATGATGCACATAAACAAGCAGGCTGCAAACATATTACCAATGATGACATGCTCTTAAGAAGGGGAAATACGTATGACCAGAAAAGGAGGTAGGCTAGTCATGTACTAAGAATGAGAAACAACAGATGAACAGCCTGAGTGCTAGAATGGTAACCCTCCGTAAAAGAATCAGAGGGAGATATCTAGCACATTGATTGGATGCTCTATAAAAGATTTATGAAAAGCCATAGGCAAGAAAATGAAAAGGAATAAAGAAGGTTTTCATCTGCACAGATATGGATAGATGGATACAGTACCCACACCAAGGAAATCTCATCCATCAACGAACCAAAAAATAAGTGATTAGGGGTCAGACTGGAATTCAGGAATCCTTGGAAGCATCCTCCCCATGCATTAAAATCTGCCATATGATCTGCAAGTACAGTGACATAAGCTCCAAGCCAGCGACACTCCACCAAAGAACACTTTTTTAAAAAGCTAAAAGAAATATCAGGCTAAAGATAAAGACAGCTCCAACTTTGCTTAAAACATGACAAAGGGACCAAGGAAGCTTAAAATCTTCAGGTGGCATCTACTGCTCGATCGAATCTGCAAGATCAAGGGCTCTTAATCTCGCAAGGTTTAGAAGTGGTCCATAAACTTGGATTTGGGGGGTGGGGGTGAAAAGGGAGAGAAATCCTACATCTTTATTTCAATAAAAGTGGCTTCCTTTGTCATCCTATTTTATTTTGCATTTAAAAACATTTTTCGGAGAAAGGATTCACAGTCCTCACAAGAATGTCAAAGGGGCCCATAACACATACAAAAGAGGTTAAGAGGTCTGGTTGTTCCCCAGACTATTAATCAGTTTTCCAAAAAGGAGGATGTGAAGGTGTTGGAGGGGTTTCCCATGACCCCCAGAAAAGTCACTGAAACTCAAGCTGTGGATGAGAATTTTTTTTTTTTTTCCATCTATCCAGCACCACCCAAAACTGCTGTCTGGGGAAATCTGAAACTGCCTGCAGCAGAAACCAGAGGCAGGGAAGGGAATAGGGAGTAGGGAGTGGGGGGTGGGGGGAGGGAGCCGGGGGAAAGTGAAAGGGGAGGGCTGACTTGTGCTCCCCAAAGGAGATGGGGCTGCGGGGGAAGGGAAGGATGGGGGTCCTTCCCCCAAAGGACACACTAGGAAGGAGGTTTGGGGGAGCTCTGGAGGCGGAACGGGGCAGGGGCGGGGCGCTGCCCAGGGGCAGGAGGGCCAAACGGGCTGGGGGTGCACAAGGAGTTTGGAAAGCGGGGCGGGGAGCAGTGAGAAGTCCGAAGTCCGGGACCCCAAGCCCGGGAGAAAGGGACGGGCCGTGGAAGGGGGAAAGGGCGGGGACACCAACTTCGGTCGGCAGGCACAGCCAAGGCCGATGGCGGGGGCCAGAGCTCCGCGGCTGTTCCCGGGGCCGCTCGGCCGCCTCCCGAGGCTCCTTCTTCAGCCCCGACCGACCTCCCCCCCACGCACCCGCAGCCCCGAAACAGAGCCGGGCTCCTTCCCATTCCCGCGGCCAACCGCTGCACTTACCCGGGCTCCGAGCGGCCGAGGACTAGGCGGGAGGGGCGGGAGCGGCGCGGCCCAGCCCGGCCGGCTCCCCGCCCCCGCCTCCCGGCCCCCGGGGCCGCGCCTGCCATTGGCGGCCTGGCCGCGGAATCGCGACCTCCTCCGCCAATCAGCGCAGCTCAGCGCCATTTGGAAACTTTTTATCTCCCTCCTCCCCCTCCCCTCTCCCGCCCTCCCTCCCCCGGCAGCCGCGGGGACCTCGAGGCCCAGCCGGGAGCTCCGGGGTGGGGGGCGGGGGAGGGGTCAGTGGAGGGGAATGTGGTTGGCTCTGCCTCACCTGCGGGTGTAGTTGAACTCTGCACGCTCGTCCCCCTGGACAGGACGGGACAGCATGTTTTACTACCCCTAGCGTCTAGCATGGACAAGGTCCAGCGCATGGACCTGGCCCACGCGCTGTCCCTCCGGCTCTCCCGCAAGAGCTGTGAACCTCAGACGCCCACCCTCCGGGACTTCGGCTTCTTGCACCAACCCCTAGCCCCAGATCAGAGGCTAAGGTCCCGAGCCGCTGATGTCAACGCGGGCATTGTTCATTGGAAAAAGATCCTCCATGAGAGAGCTAGGTGGCGCGGTAGATGGAGCGCCGGGCCTGGAGTCAGGAAGACCAGAGTTCAAATTCTACTTCAGCTATTACTAGCTGTGTGACCCTGAGCAAATCACTTCACCCTGTTTGCCTCAGTTTCCTCATCTGTAAAATGAGCTGGAGAAGGAAATGGCAAACCACTTTAGTATCTTTGCCAAGAAAATCCCAAATGGGGTCCAGAAGAGTGGGACATGACTGAAATGAAAACATTGTTCTCTCTGCCCCGGATTTTGCACCTAAGGCAAAACAAGTCTTCTGTTTCCTCACCTCCACCCAATTCCTCCTCTTTGGGCAAATCATCAACACCCCTTTCATACCAGGCTGGTTGCTTTTCTCTTATTGTCCTAGTCACTCGAGAAACTTTCAGAGATGCTCAGGATGGTGAAAGGACCACTTAGGATTTCGAAACAGGAGACCTGGGATTCTAGATCAAGCTTTCCTACTAATTAGATTCGGGACATTAAATGAGTCTTACTTTTCTGGATCGCATGTTCCTTAAGGAGAAAATAGAACGACCTCATTTTTGGCTCGAACCTGTGACTTCATCTAGGTTGAGGACTCTCAGTGTGGAATCTCCCTGCAGTTAGACTACTTGCTAGTTACTTAATAATAGTCTCAGAGAGCTGGAGAGTTGAGAGGCTATGGGATTTAGCCTAGGTGGTGGAGAATCTGTCATAGGCAGGATTTGAACTAGGTGTTACTGATTACAAGACCAGCCCTCTAACCGCTGCATCATGTTTTCCTCTCTTAAAGATGATCTTTCAGGTATAAAATTGTCTAAATTTCAGACTACTCTCTCTCATGTTCTGTTCACTCTAGCCGGATTGGATTACTTCCTCATGCCCCAAGTAGGTTCTGTGCATTTTTACCTCCCATGCCTTTGTGGGATACCTGTCATATGCAATTCCCTCCCGTCTCTCCACATTGTGACTTCCAAACCATCATTCTTCAAAGACCATCTGCTACATAAACTTTTCCCGGATAGCTACAGTTGTATTGATTTCTCCATCCTCTGATCTCATAGCACTTTATAACAAATTCTATCATATATTATTTGTATAACTATCTTATCTCCCCTATCATCCTTTAACCTCCTTGGAGGTGGGGTTTTATTATCTTGGGTTATTCCTCCTATCCTCTTCTACAAACCTTTTTGAAGGTTAAATAAATGAATAAATATGACAGAAAAATCTGAACACTAGTGATTTTATAAACCCTTAAGTAGTTAAAATAATGCTTGATGGACTTAAAAATAGTCTTTTGCTGTCTAATCCATTTTTTTTTAGTATTTTCCTTATACCTTTGGGCCTCTATCAGTTGAGAGCCCTTTATTTCTTTTCCATGGGCTTCAAATCATGATTTATTAATTCAAAATACTAACACCAACATAGAAAGAAGAGAAGGTTGCTATAGAAAAAGCTCCTTCGGTGCTACCTTGGTAAATTCAGCAATCATAGCATTGGAACTGCAATGATCTAATTAGTATATTATAAAATCTAATTAATTCAGACATCATCAATTTGTAATTTCTTATAAATTTTAACAAGAGGCTGACTGAAATTTAACTTTGTTTTATGATAAAGGAATTTACTACCCAAATGAAAATTGTAGTGGTATGTTCAATCTATTCATTCATTGAGACTTTTGTGTATAATCAATCAACAAGCATTTTTTAAGCACTAGTTATTTGCTAGGAACTGTGCAAGGCACTGAAAGACATTATGAGATATATAGGTCTGTCGCTGAAAGGAATTTATCATTATAAAGGAGATGAGACTTAAAGGAAAATAATATTCAAACACTCATAAATAAATTTTTTTCCCATTCATGAAACAGGTCTCTAAGAAGCCCTTGGTTAGCTCTCCTAGGAGTTACTGTTTATTAAGTTTCAACTTAACAAACATTTAATAAGCTTCTGTTATATGCAAAGGACCTTGCTAGATGCTTTAAGTATACTAAGATGAATAAAACAACGAGCTTACAATATAGTATGGATAAATTGAAAAAAACAAACAACAATAACTATAGCATAATACAAATGTAACGCTTGGATGGGACAGTAGAAACAAAGCATAAATCAGAGTTTAAAAGAGAAAGATCACTTATGATGTGAGAGATTAAAGAAAATTTTCTGAAGGAAATGGCCTTTGAGCTTGCTTCCCTCCATAATGAATAAAATGGTCATCCTATAGAGGAGGTGGATGTATTCTGTGAAAAAAAGTGCTCTGGAGTCTGAATGTAGATTGAAGCATACTATTGTCACTTTATTTTTTTTCATAGTTTTTTTCTTTTATTCTGTTTCTTCTTTCACAACATGACTGATATGGAAATATACTTTACATGATTGCACATATATAACCTATATCAAATTGCTTACCATCTTAGGAAGGAGGAAGCTGAGGGAGGGAGAAAATTTGGAACTCAAAACTTTATTTAAAAAATGAATGTTGGGGCAGCTAGGTGGCGCAGTAGTTAGAGCACCGTTCCTGGATTCAGGAGGACCTGAGTTCAAATCCGACCTCAGACACATAATACTTACTAGCTGTGTAATTCTGGGCAAGTCACTTATTAACCCCATTGCCTAGCCAAAAAAAAAAAAATGTTAAAAATCGTCTTTACATGTAATTGAAAAGATAAAATTGTATATGTATATATAGCTATACATATATACGTAAAGTCATACTTCAAGCTGCTCACATTCTAATGAGGGAGATAACATGTAAGTAGCTATGTGCATACAAGAGAAAGATAGATATAGGTATAATATAAATAATATAGTATATAATAATATAAATCACATACATTATACACTAGTGTTATATTGTTATATAATATATCATGTTCATATATAATATTATATTGTCATAAATGTATAGTATATATTATATAAATATATATTGTATATTTACATATGATATATAATATTAGTGTATATTAATATATAATATATAGTATAAATAAAAGGTAATATCAGGAAAGACACTAGTAGTCACAGACTGGAAAATGCCTCTTGTGGGAGGATTTGAGCTGGGATTTTGGAGAACATTCCAGTCATGGAGGACAGCCTGAGACAGGAGAGTGGTATATTGTGTCCAAGGGACAGTGAGTAGGTTAGTGTGGCTGGATTGTAGAGCTGGCAGAGAGTGGAAAGGTAGGAATGGGACAGATTATGAAGAACTTTAAATGCCAAACAGAGGATTTTATATTTGATCCTGAAGAGAGGAGGAACTGGAATTTATTGAGTAGAGAAGGGCAGGATGAGGTGATAGTGGTGACATGGTCAGCAGACTTTTTAAAAATCACTTTGGCTGGGGCAGGTAGGTGACGCAGTGGAGTCAGGAGGACCTGAGTTCAAATTTGACCTTAGATATCTGTGTGATCTTGGGCAGGTCCCTTAACCCTGACTACCTCCCCTCAAAAAATGATTTTGGCAGCTGAGTGGAGGGTAGGTTAGAATAAGGAGAAATTTGAGACAGAGAGACCAGTTAGAAGGCTTTTAGAATAGTCTAGTCAAGTGGTAATGAGGGCCTAAATTAAGGTTGTGGTTGTATGAGTGGAAAAAAGGAAGATGTTTATGAGAGATGTTACAAAGGTAGAAACAAGACTTGCCAACAGATTGGAAATGTGGGGTGAGTGACGATGGTGAATTAAAGATGACACCAAGAATGTTAATCTGGGTTACTGGAAGATGGTAGTGCATTTGACAGTAATCATGAGGTTTGGAAGAAGAGAAAGATAATGAGTTCTGTTTTGGACATGCTGAATTTGAGAAGCCCACAAGATATCCAATTTAGTCACAAAATCAATTGTTGATGTGAGTTCAGCTGGATATCTCGGTCTGGGAATCATCTATGTAGAGATGATAATTAAATCCATGGAGCTAATGACATCACTAAATGAGACAGTATAGAAGGATAAGAGAAGGCTCAGGACAGAGCCTTAGGGGACATCTAAGGTTGTTGGACATGTACTGGCAAAGAAGACTGAGGAATGGTCATACGAGCTAGGAGAACCAAAAGAGAGCAGTATCATGAAAACTTACAGAAGAAAGAATTTCTGGGAGGAGAAGGTAATCAGCTGTAGAGAGGTCAAGAAGGACAAGCACTGAGCTGTGATCATCAAGACAACTCTGGTGATTTCAGAGAGAGCAGTTTTAGTTGAATGATGAGATTGGAAACTGGACTGGAGAGGGTTTAGAAGAGAGTAAGAGAAGAGAAAAATTATAATCAGATAAAGGAATTTGGGAGCTCATCAACATTATAAGTGATGGCAAGATCAATGGTATGACTGTGTTTGTGTGTAGCTGAGGTAGAGTAGAGGAGTAATTCATGTGAGTTGAGTAGACTAAGGAGATGGTAAGCTCGGGAGAATCTGCTAGTATGAGGGCAGGAGTTGGGCTGGAGAAACTACAAATTATGCACTGAACTGAATGAGGAA